AAAATAATGATGCCTGGTATGCCCAGTCACTACTGTCTGCATCTCTGATGGGCATCAGGGAGGTCCCAGTAAGTTTATTATAAACTACTGTCCCCAGGCAATATCTAGCATCACTACCAAGTGGGATCAGATATTGATAGTTCTCGAATAAGTTTAACATTTAAGTAAACTATGAAATCTTAACTTTAGAAACATAAAGAACAGTATGGCTCTCATAAATTAGTGTTTTAACATAGTTGATTTCTAAAAAGATTCTTTTACATTCACCTGAAAGTTCCATTTTTTCTAATCATAATTTTTTGTCATTTGCTAGCTCCATATTAATAGCTACTTTTATATAAGCCCAAACCCAGTTCTTTAATATTAAAAAAAGTGACAAAACAATTAAAAATCTCACCTTAGGCAAGAATAGAAGAAAAAAAATCAAGCTTTGTTTTTGAGGTGATTGGAATAAAACAACAAGTGGTTTTAATTTTAGCCACTGTCCTGCTGTAGAGCTACAAGATCTCCACAATATTGACAGCCAGTTTTTAACCATCTTTGATCCCATTCAGTAACATTTTTCATTTCTGGCCCTGTTGTTATTCTTATAATGATTTCATCACCTTAATGAATAAATGGTATTTCTAGAGAGGTAAAATAATAGCTAATAAGACAAAATAAGAGGAATGAGGAAATTTATGTGAGGATAAGCTTGATTAAATATATCTTATGGTTAATAAATTAAATTTTATATAGATTAGCTCATTTGTAGAGGTCAGTTTTCTAATGCAAATGTCTTAATTTTTTAAAGGACACAGACAAAAGTATTGGTATAATCAGATTACGAAGCCTTTCCCTATTATGAAATTTAAATAAAAGATAAATGAAAATTGAATTTGTGCAACTGAGTGGGAAGCAACCACTGACTTAACTTTATTAAAGAGTGTTATTTTATGAAATTTAATCTAAATATCATGTATCACCTTTCAAAAGTTAGAAACTGATTTCTTTTCAAAGTTACAAACTGATCTATATTTCATATGCACAGATACACACACACTATACACTTTTAATAATTGCAAATCTTTGTTTTTGAAGGCATATTTATTAGGCCAAAGTCTGAGGAATATAATAGCATGGTTCTAAGACTATAAAGGAATAATTTATATTATAATGTCATAAACAGAGTCTGAAGGAAATTTCAAAAGAGAGCATCCAAAAACTTAGCTGAGCAGCAGCAACATAATCGGATTGTGTGTATCACCTCTAACAGTGATTCATTTGAAAGTACAGCATCTGGATGGCCACTCTAAAAATATGAATCTCATTAGCTTGTAATTATTGGGATATAACCTAGTTTGAAGAAGTTTCTTGTATAGTTCATGGATGTGCTTTTTATACTCCATGAAATAAGATGTTTAAATATCTGAGCATAAGATTCAACTAAGATAAATAAAAAGGAGCTTTCAGTAGTTACAGAAACGGGTGTTAGGTGACACTGCCCTAGTAACTCAGATGCTACAAAACATGCACCCCTAGGCTAATGCGTCCCATCAGAACCTTCAGAGCCGAATGATTAACAAGCAGATGCTCATTTTCAATAATGGGATATATCCGTAAGAGGAGAAACACAGATGTGATGTTTTATGCTTCCCCTCCACAAAATAACACCAAAAAAAAAAAAAAGCAGTTATTAAGCACTTGCTTTTTTGCATGGCAATTTAGAAGTTTAAATAAGAGAAATTAGGCATATTTAAATAAATAAATACAGAATAAAGCTTAAAAATATTGTAAACATTGTAAGATGGAAATAGACTGGAGGGATCAGTTATCTGTTTTAATAATAGCATTCATAATATTCTAAATAAAAGGCTAATCAAATAGGCTCTTTAGTAAAGAGAAAGGCCTATATCATTTTGTAGCATTGTAACATGAGTAAAACACTACCTAATAACTCATTAATTTTCTGAGTTATATTGTCTATCTTTCTGATTTTTTCACACTATATGTTATTCAAGATAGAAACCTATTTATTATTCTTTTAAGAAACGGTTCTGAACAATGAGAACTTGTCACATTGTGGAATTATAATTAATCCAATTCTGTGTACTTGTCGGATAAAAACAACCTAGATTTCTTATACAATATCCATACACTGCAAACATTTAATAAGTAGTATCATTCAGTATCCACTAGGGACCTGCACTGATAAATCATGTGTAGATTTGCTTAGAGGAATCATTCTTATTTCATAATTTGTATATTAATAACAAATAACCAGGACCCTACAACACCCCCATTTGCTTTATTATTTCTTCTCCTATTGAATTTTGAGGAGTAGCAGATCTCCTAATGGAAACATTCAAATTATTTCATTTAAAGAAATTAAAGTATGTATTTGAAGAAGTTACTGTCCAATTATGCTGTGAATCTGAAGGAAGAATTTGAGTCTGATTAAGATACTGAAGACATTATGTAGAAACATATAAATGTTTAATTCAGGTAAAATTTGGGAGCCAAACAAAAGATTGCATTTCACTGATGATTTAAACAGCCAGGAAAGAAATAAAAAAATAAAAGACTGTAAAATGAGTCTGAGCTTAAAGAAGATTATTCTACATAAATTCTATTAATGGAAGAAGATAAGAGTAGAAACTGAGAATTATTAACCATATATGAAATAAATATATTCTGCATAACAGTTTTAAATAAAAGGTATCTTTTGATAATTATTACTGAAGAAGAAACATAAACAGATAATAAATATTCATTTAAGAAAAATGTTGAGAAAACTGGTTGCAAAAGTTACCAAAAAGAACTACAATAATCCTAATCCACTTTCTACAACTATTCATATCCATTGTAAAACCAAATTTTTACAAATCTCATAATAAATATTTTGTCAAAAGGCTTAATACTGGACAATAATACTGTTTTTACTATATACTTTGATAAAATTAAAACATTTAACTCCCACTGGAAGGTTTTATATAGAAGCAGTGCTTGCTTTCCTAAATGACAAATTTTCTCAGTGCTAATCTGTACATGAAATGTTTTATTTAATATATTCCTTAAGAATACATTTGTTCTAAAAGTCTGTGCTAAAATCACAACAAAAACACCCAGTCACATCTAAAAACAAAAATACTTTTAAACTAGAATTTAAACTTTATGATGTTCAGATCATTCTGGAGTAAAATAAATACTTAGAGAAAAAAATACTCAGTTCCATTTACCAAAAGATTTTCTTAGTAGGCAGATAAATTGTTAAAATAACTTAAAAATAATAAAATCACACAAAGAAATAGTTATATTATACTTAAATATCATTTATACTAGGTTAAAATTAATCCTCCCTATGCAAAGGAATAATTCTTTGTCAATCGTACCAGAATTGTTTGGCAGGCAACAGAGCAAATAAAATGGAAGAGGAATGAGCCTGGGCTAGAAAAGCATCTTGCTTGTAAGGATTGTTACAAAGAGAAAACTCAGCTAAGGTTGAGAAACACAGAGTCTTTGGGTAACCCTGTGAACACTAACACCTCAAGTAAGGGCAAAAAGAAGTCAGGAACTAGACAGAGGAGTCATATCAATAGAGGAGTCATAGCAACAGAGGAGTTTGCTATAGAGTCATGTGATTAGATCGCTCCTAAAATGGGCTACACAATATTGACTAGACTGGTAGAAATTAACAGGGGACCCTTAGCATCCGAATCAGACTACAAACTAATGATATTATGAAAATGAAATAATTGAGAGTTTATCTGATTCTGTGATTCTGTTACCAAAGGCATTATAATGAGTATCATGCAATAAAGCATCCTTGGGGTTTATTACGAAAGATATCTGTAAGACCTCTACTTCATTTTCTCCCATTGAATTTTTGATCTTTCAAATTTACTCCTCCAGGTAAAAATCCCCACCTGGCCACTTTTGGAGGAGGGTAGAAATCAGGAAGTCTGGAACCAGCTCAAATATGAATTGAAATGACCCTACCTTGTACCTAAGTTCCAGTAACTGGGCTAGATTCCACCCCCCTTCCTACAAAATCAGGCTGCCTTTTGTCCGTTGGTTTTAGTAACCATTTCCTGCTCTGTTTCTCAGACCTAACTCCTTTCCTGAATTACTTGTCTAAGAAGGAATCTAGTACTGAGATCTGGTTTTCCTCTTCAGACCAGCCTCTGAACCCTACATCTCAGGACCTGACTCCTTTTTCCTGATGTTGCTGGTCTGCCCAGGCCTTTTATTTATTGCTAACCTCAACAACTGTGCCACCCACTTTATCCTTATGAAATGTGTCTGGTCTTTAGGCTCCTGGCATTTCCCTTTGATCCATCCCATGGTCCCAGAACCATGTTGAAGGTACAATACCTTCTCTACAATTAGCATTCTTCATAGTACTTAGTTCAAACCTGAGCTTGTGCTTGATAAATGCTGGTTAGCTGGATGAGCAGCAGAGTTATGCTGCCAAGTCTCAGAATCATTAAGTTATAACTATGAAAATTGTTTTAAATAAAGTGAATGTTTGAGACAACAATATGATTTTTAACCTTAAATGTAAATGAGTAGCATGTTTAGTGCCAGTTATATATTTGATAATGCAATATTCTATCACGGAAGTTCATTTTATCATTTTCCTTTTTTTTTCATTCTGCTCATTTTATTAATTTTCTGCATTTTATCATTTTAGTTTTCCCTCCTCATTTTGTTATTTTTGGCATTTTTCTTAATGTTTTAATTTTCTCATTTCCTTATTCTTTAATGTTGATGTGGTATTTTATATTGTGTCTTCCTCTGTGGTAGTTGATTTTCAATTCTTTTTTTTATTTAGAACTTATAACCAACATCATTTAATCTGGGACAGCGTAATGGGTCCAAGAAATAAAAAAAGTCAGTAAATAAAACTATGCCAGTTTTTTGGTTGAAACCTGAATAAATACACTTCAAAGGGTAAAGAAGGGTCAATTAACAAGGGCACTAATTAAATAGAAATAATCTTAGCAACATAAGAACTTTACCTGCAGAAGTTGGCTCTTCTTCATCTGATGCTATGGTAAGAGGAAAAGGGGTGAGGTGGAGACGGGGAGGATGGATGGGGGTGGGGAGGGAGAGAGAGAAAAAAAGAAAAATTGAACATAAATATATTCTGCATTTTCAAACAATGAATACAAGCTCCTGACTTGTAATTTTGTGAATTATGAAATTATAAAATTACAGAAATCTTTCATTAGATAATTGGATAATGACAAATTAATGGGTATTTACATTAAATTAATATTTATATACTTTTATACTCTAAAATACTTATGTATTAGAAAAGACCCTTCAGTTGTCTGAATCTGATTTTCCCTTCCTTTTGCAAAAAAGACTGGCCTTATTTAATTTGAATGTAAATTATAATTACTATGAATTATATTGTTAAAAATAGAAATTGAACATAACATATGAATACCCCACTGTCACCACATCATGGGAATTTTCTATTAGCAAAGAGGAATCAAAAGGCATTGTTGATAGCGAAAATTTTATTCCATGAAGTAGACATTATAAATAAGATAGGGGTTACACACAAACACACTCAGCTCACAGGTACCACACACTTTAAAATTCAGAAGTGGTGATACCGTGGTGAGGCCACAAGAACCTGCATTTTGAAGGTTGATCCAAGGGGTTTTGACAGACGTGGTCTACAACCCACAAAGGATAAACATGGATATTTTTTTTTTTAAGATTTTATTTATTTATTTGACAGAGAGAGATCACAAGTAGACAGAGAGGCAGGCAGAGAGAGAGAGAGAGAGGGAAGCAGGCTCCTTGCTGAACAGAGAGCCCGATGCGGGACTCGATCCCAGGACCCTGAGATCATGACCCGAGCCGAAGGCAGCGGCTTAACCCACTGAGCCACCCAGGCGCCCCAAACATGGATATTATAAAAGCAGAGGTTATAACAGTAAAACAGAACTTTATGCTAAAGCAGTGGTTCAAAACCATGAATTAATATTAGAATGCCAAACTCTGGGCTCCACCTCAAACCAATTAAGTCAGAATCTCTTTCAACAATACTAACTTGTAGCCAGGATTGAGATATTACTAGATGATATCAATAAAAGGTAACATGAACTATAACTCAAAGTGTGAATCATTCTGATTCCTGTTTTGAAAGGGAGGAATTAAAAAAAAAATTAGCAGGAGGTGCAGAGAGAGAGAGAGAATCTGAAGCAGGCTCCACGCCCAGTGTGGAGCCCCATGCAGGGGTTGATCTCACAACCCTGAGATCATGACCTGAGCAGAAATCAAGAGTGGCAGGCTTAACCGACTGAGCCATTGAGGTGCTCCAAGACATTACTAAATAACATCAATATAAGGTAACATGGGGGCACCTGGGTGGCTTAGTCGTTAAGCCTCTGCTTTTAGCTCAGGTCATGATTCCATGGTCCTGAGAATGAGCCCCACACTGGGTTCCCTGTTCAGCGGGAAGCCTGCTTCTCCCTCTCCCACTCCCCCTGCTTGTATTTCCTCTCTCACTGTCTCTCTCTACATCAAATGAATAAACAAAATCTTAAAAAAAAAAATATATATATATATATATATATATAATATATATATGGTAACATGAACTCAAACTCAAAGGTAACATGAACTATAACTGATTCCTGTTTTAACAGACAGAAATTTTTAAGAGCAGCCAGACTCCAAGGGTAATAATCTGCTATGCATATGTAGGGGATTGAGCATAGTGGTTATAAGAGCGAAAAACAGTTTACCTGAAGTTGCTTCACAATTTGGCCTAGAATGCACCACTTCAACTTTACACTAACAGACAGACTCTGTGAGGAGGTATTTCTGTTCTGTACACAAGTGCAGCTTACCCCGAATATGACTGTTGAGTTATATGACACCAGCCGGTGCTATTTCATTTGATTCATGAAGTTTTAAAATAAAAATTTACTCGGCTGAACTGCTTATAAAGGAGCTTTGTTCCCAGATGATTCGTTAATCAAGGTATCACTGTGTAACCAGGGAGCAGTCTCTACTCTTTCCCATTAAGGTTACATCTGCACAGAGACACCTTAGACAAGCTGACTTTGTGTCCTGACAGTATTTTCCTCTCACACTCTTTGGCTTGTCTCCTTGGCACATGAAGGAATGGAGACAGCAAACACAGTTGGCATGCACGGTGTGGAGAACATAAATATTTAAAAAGCCATTTGCTGCTTTATTATGTCCAAAATATATCATAACATGTTTGAAGAGGAAAACTGTCATTAGCTTCCAGGAATTCCCTTTTAGGAAAATACTATAACGCCTTGTAGAAGTGCGGACTTAGACGGTCATTGTTAGTAAAAGTCTGGAGAATCAAAGTGGGGGGGGGGAATCACCTTATGTGTGTGAACTCAATTTATAAAAAGCTACGATAAGATGAAAATTACTATTTGATAGATACAGAGGGTTAGAGTGACTGAGCAATTTGTCTAAGGACAATTTGAATGTGAGCTCATGTCAATGTGACTTTCGAACCAAACTCTTTCCACTCTGCCTTCCTGTCTCCCAAAGTGTTGATTCAGTATCCATTAAGAGAGAAAGGGAAAAAGGAGAAAAGGGTCCTGGAGTAAGGACTGGTTAGATCTCTGATAATGTTACTTGGACTTAAACATAATGGGGGAAAAACTGGATGTAAGGACCAGGAAACTTCATAAGATCCCTACAATCCAGGGATAGACACAGGCAGGTGAGATCTGGAGTATGCAGTTAAAATATCCTAAGCATGTGACACCTAAGGAGTGAAAGATTAGAAATGCTGAGATTTTATCCCTCCATTACATATGGATAAGCAAGACATTTTCAGAAAGAACTATCCAGCACAGAAACAAAGACAATTCCAAATTTATAGAAGTCTTAGTGATTAGAATGTCTTAAAACCAAAGCCTACCGGGTAAGCAGTGCACTAACCTACCCTTAAGCCTCTAATACCTAAAAGCATCTTTGTAACAGATTAACAATATTAAAGTCTGCAGATACACAAATCTGCCAGAATTCTCTTTCTATACAACATCTCCATAATGGTGATTGGTCATGATACAAAGATGTTGCTAACCAATACTCATACTATGAAAATATACACACACAAACACATATACATATGGGTTAGTATTACTATTAATTCACTGTTGCAGTTACCTCTGGAAAGATGGCCTTGTAGGTGGCTAGCTACACTACCAAACAGAGTATCATGAACTATTAACAGGTGGCAGCTAGAGCCCCAAAGGTACAAATAAGCCTAAAAGTAGACATTAGTGGCCCATTTAGTGACATTTAACTTAAATAATTACCATAGAAGATAATGCCATGCTACCCAAATGATTTTTCACTTTTCCATTCGCTTCTCAGAATTCATTGAAATCAGCAAATTGAAAAATACATCTTTGTCACATGCAAGTTCCTCTAATTCTGGAAATTAAAAACACATGCACTGGGGCCCCTGAGTGGCTCAGTCTGATTCTTGATTTTGGCTCAAATCATGATCTCAGAGTTGTGGGATGGAGCCCTGCATCAGGCTCTGTGCTCAGCGTACAGTCCACTTGAGACTCTCTCCCTTTCCCTCTCCCTCTGCTCCTTCCCCCTCTCGCCTTCTCCCCACCATCCCACCATAAATAAATAAAATCTTTACAAAAAAAAAGAAGCAAAACCCAAAACACATGCACCAAGCAAAACAAAACTAAACAAATAACTCCGTATCACTCTGCTTGGTTACAGTGCAGAAGGATGTACAGAAATGATAGTAACAGCAGAAAAATAGTAAAAATACATATCAGATCTAGAAAACAACTGTGTGGTTCTCTCATTGCTCATAACAGAATCACCATTTCATTCAGATGCCCCAGATCTACTGAATTTGAATTTGGGTGTCAGTTCAGCTTTCAGCATTTTAAAAAAGTACAGCAGGGGAATGTTACAAACACAAAATGTTGAGAGTAATGGCTATACCCATCAAAATTTGTTGCATTAGGAAAGAGCCATGGGTGCAGCTGTTGAAACTGAAGCAGTAAATTAGAAGGCTTATAGGAAACTATTCACAGTGTGTACTGGGGTTAGTTCACCAGCTCTCAAAGCTCTCTTGTATCATCTTCAGGTTTATTTGGATATCTACGTCAGTACTTTGGGGGAAGATGATTCCTCCTTTGGATTTAGAAAGGAAGTTTATTTACATCTCAGAAATAAATAAATCTTCTCCATTTTCCTGCCCACCATTATTTGTCTAGGTAAGCATATGACCCATTTGGGGACACTGATGTGTAAGATCAAGTTTTTGCATGCTTGGGTGAGGTGAGGCTCTTGGAAAGGAGGCTTCCTCAATCTTCTGAGAAAGTGTCTGGAAAAACCCCTCTTTCTCTTCCTTTTAGACACAGACAGGAAGCTTGTGGTACCAGAAGTAAGCTGGCAGACATTTTGCAGCCATGATGGGAGCCAGCTTTAGAAAGAAGCCAATCCTGCTCCAAGGCAGAATGGGAAAACAGAAAGAAATTAGATTACTGATGATATAGTTCAACCACAAAGTCATCTCCTTACCCAAATCTGGACCTTCAGTTCTGAGGAAAAATACTTCCTCTTTATTGTTTATTTAATTTTAGTTGAGTTTTCTCTAATTTGGGATGACGTGACATTCTGCCACAACTATAACCAGTTTTGTTTTTGCCATTTAAAATATACTAGGACACATAAGGAGTTAATCATTTCTGAGGCAGGTGAAATGGAAAGTACATACAGTCTTGGGCATTGCATTCAGAGGGCAGCTGGGCTTTTGGCACATAATTTTTCCACAGAGCTCACGACAACGTTTTGGTATGATAAACCTACCCTGATTTTGAAGTTGGTCACTGTTTATTCAGGATGATCTGACAGTGTACATGTTCTTGAACTGGGTTAGTAGGTGACAGAAGAAAGCAACCTGTGGACCTGCCTTCTTTCCTTTCACCCACTTTTCCTCCCTTTCTTTTTTTGTTCCACAGGATCAAGTGTCAAATACAATAACTACCCAAACCCATGGGCT